CCGTGCTCCGTACACGAACTAAATTTTTTTTTTTAAAGTAAATTTAATTCATATTCATTTGCACAATTGTATTTCTAGTATAGACATTGCTTAGGTTTAATTTGTTTTATAATGACTTCAAAGTTATTTTGCACTGATATAAGAAATTTCAAATGTATAATATGTGCCACTGCATAATTATAAATCGATTTACATATTCATATGCGTTTTATATTTTGTCCTTCATATATTTTAATATTTATTTTATATCTGAAATTTTTTTCAGACATTCGGTTTGATAAGCGAATGTATGGTGTTGCACTCTCGGTATTTGTAAGTGCAAAAATCGCTATATACGGTAAGCTGCACATACCGTATTTACAGCTCACCATGTATGCAACATACTGTATTTGCATCATACCGTATATGCATCACACTGTATTTACAACATACCGTATTTACATCATACCGTATTTACAGCATATTATATTTGCATTATACAGTATATGTAACACACTGTATTTACAGTATACCGTATTTGCATCATACCGAATTTATAGCATATATTTGTATCATACCATATTTGCATTATACCGTATTTACAGCATACCGTATTTGTACATATTGTCTTTAGACACCGTATTTGGCAGATATTGGTTTTTGTAATTCAATATTATTTTCTTTTTTATAATTGTATTTTCAGGAATTAAAAAAAATGTGATTATGAAATTGTTAATTTTTAAATGTGTTTTTTTTGTTGAAGATAAAAATAATTTTTTTATGTTATTTGTAAAAAAAAATTGTAAATATTTATTTATTTATTTTTTATTTCTCATTATACAGAGAGTTTACCAACTCCGCGCACATAGTTTGCCATCTCTCCACATTGTGCGAAGAGAAGTTTTTTTTTTTTTTGGCTTATCGGAGTTGATATTTACTAAAATTATTATTATTTTTTAAATGCTAGTGACATGATGTGTGGAAGAACATTTGTTTCACATCAACAAAATGGAAAATAAAAAATGACATCATGCATAGTAAAATTAGATTAATTTCTATTGCATACCATCATTTCCCTTTTTATAAGAAGTTATATATATATATATATATATTAAAAAAAAATGAAGAGTCCATGCACGGAGGCCCAAAAAAAAAAATCGATGCACTCTAGTTTTTTCTCCCCACTTGGAAAAAAAAATTTAAAAAAATTTTAAAAAATACCAAATAAAAAAATTACAAAAATTTAAAAAAATATATATAAATATTATTCTGTTAAAATTAAAAAATTAAATTTTATTTAAAAGAGAAAAGAATAAAAAAGAAATTTAAATAAATTGATAAAAAGAACAATTACTTATAAAAAAAATAAAAATTATAAACTTTGTCTCCATGCACGGAGGCTTCAGCTAAAATTTCTTTTTTTTTTCTTTTTCCCTCCGTGCATGGAAAGATTACTTCTTTTTTTTTTATGCTGTGTAGTTTTAGGTTATAATTGTTTTCTTCAATTTAAAATTCTCTTTAATTCTTTTCTCTTCAAATTTTTTACTTACAAATAATATGTTGTAAAAAAAATTTTGTCGCATATTATCTCTATCTTTTTTTTTATATATATATCAAAGTGATATTTTTCTTATATCCATACTATATATATCTATATCGGAGTGGGGGAGGAATGAAAATTTTGTGTTGCAGTAAATTTGGAGTTAGCGTACAATAAAATAAAATATATATCAAGCAAAAGGTGTCTTTTTGCCCCCAATTGAAAAAAAAAAAACAACACAAAAATGCTATAGTAAAGATAGATCAAGACACTGTTGACTTCTATAGTGCCTTCACATTCCCCTTTTTATATAGTAGGGAAATATAGACTGAAGGATTTTTTATTATTCTTTGAAAGCCTCTCAAACTCTGTGGGTGAAATGATAGAGATTGTGAAATTTTTATTTGTACCACTTAATAGTTAAGAATCTAAAGATTTTTTTCAAAATGGATAAAAAAAATAATAATAATAAATGTTTTCATTTTGAACATTTCAAAATTTTTAAAAATTTCTTAAATATTTGAGTTGAACTCGAAAAATGTACATTCATGTGGCCAATAGATTTGAGCCGACTTGCACACACGTAAGCTCCTTTCATACGCACTTGGACAAATGGACAGTCACCCGTGGCATTATCTGGTGGCAGGGAAGGTAGCCGCAAGTACTTCGAAAGAAATATATATGAGTTGGGACAAGTTTAAAATGCAAGCCACAAAAGTGTAAAGGTAATCAGAAAAGAGTATATATGAATGTTGCGAGCGAGGAGAGGGGGGAGGGCAATCTTACGACGCTTGGGAGTGAAAATTGCATTGCCTTTTCCTTGAGCTGGTCATGTGTTTATATAATAGTGTGGATGAAGTGGTAGTCGTTGGATGAAGAAGCACGTGACTTCATCTTAATGATCAAAGCGTCCCATCCTAGGTGATCACATCAAACATCCTAAGCCCTGCAACATTTAGCCCTTGTTCGAGCCCTATTATTGTAAGAAAAATGTGCTATTGAATAGTGATAATTTGGAGAATGCACAGTTAAAAATAAAGAATGATTTTCAATTTATGTGTAAAATAATTTTATGGTAAAATGTGTGGTTGGGAGTGAATTCTGAAAAACGAGTTTTTGAAAAAATGGAGGCAAAATATAAGCTTAATGTTGTCTGAAAGATGACCACTCTATGGTCTAGATCAATGTACATATATAGTATGCTAACGTGACTTGACATTATGTTGTTGAAGGAGGTCACATCAATCACTTTTATGTGATCTTGTACGTAAGAGATCTATTAGGAGAAGTTATATTATTTGGGAGAAGTGATAAAAGATGCTCTTTAGAACATGAGGTTTCCACCTCGCTTATGTGAGCTTCGGCATCATTTGGAGCTTCAGTTGCAATATGTGTTGATAGTTTCTTTATGATTTGAATGTAGCATGATCTGAATGTAGAAGGAGGCTCCTTGCTTCGACAACTTCACTTCTAGATGTTAGTGGACTTTGGTTGAGGTGCTTGTTTCGCCCCCATTGGAGACTTGGAGTGTGAGCCTTGATGAGGCACTTGGGTAGTTGCCATGTGACTGCCTCATAGGCCTCTTTTCGAGTTTCGGTGAAATTGCCACGTGAGCTTCTTCGTGAGTCTCCATGACAAGGAATAACAATGATCCCCTAAATCCATGTATGATTATTTATATAATCTTTGGACTTTAGAAATTATGTTGTGATTGTGGTTGTGGCTTACTTTAAGCTTCATCTTGAGCCTTAGTGGAGAGGCATAACATTTGATTTAGTGCATGTTTTTGGTATAGATTTTTTATTTCCAGAAATCAAGTTTTTGATTATTATTTCACTGTTTAAACCGTCATTTTTTACTTCTTCTCTCACAGATAAAACTTATTTTTCTCTCTAACGATCAAAAATTCAATTCTCAAAATCACTATCGAATAAGCCCTTAATAACTCGATTTTTAAGAGCTCCTGTTTGGTATAATTAAAAATCAAATTTTTAGTAAATTTAAATTAAATTTGATAAAATATATGATTAAAATGTTATTAAAGTAGTGGATCTTATAGAGTATATGATTATAATTGATTTTATACTTTAACTTGAAATTTTATTAATTTTTGAGTAATTAGTACAAAATGTCCCTACCTTTCATGTTGATTGTGGAAATATTTATACTTTTCATTTTTTTGACTTTTTGTCCTTATTTCAACGTTTGGTTGCGCAAAACATTATTTTCCCTATTTTTGAACGCAAAATGACCATTTTACCCTCTTATTTAAAACAAAAAAAACCCTCTTATTTAAAACCAAAAAAAACCAAAAAAGAAAATAAAAATAAAGCACAAATTGCAACCATAATCACAAATATTTTGAAAAAAATATAAATTAGTCCAATAAATTATAAAAATTTAAAAAAAATCATCTCTTTTTTCTCTCTTCTCTCTCTTCCTCCCCTCCTCCTCCATCACCAAAACTCCACCCTCTGGCCACCTTGGGCGCCGGACCAACACATCACCTTGAAGCCCTCACTTCCCTCTTCGAAATCCACCCAAACTCCAATCATAACTATAATTGATTTGGCAGAAAATTGAAGCCAAAATAAGCTGCCCAAAACATATTTAAACAATAAATTCAATAATTCTTTATCACTCTTTACAGAAAACATGTTTATTTATAATTGATGGATTGAAGCATAGTGGAGCCTCTAATTGAAAAAGGATCGTTGGAAATAGCATGATCGTGATTTGTCTGTGTACGTTCGAAATTGGCCAAGACCCATATGTTCAGTGGATGCGCCATGGTAGGGCAATGCTAGTGGTTGTGGTTCGTGATTGGGAGTTACATTGTCGACCCTGGAATTTGTGGTGGAGGGGGTCGACTGTGCTGTGGAGGAAAAATTCTGCATCTTTAGATTTTCTGATTTGTTTGATTTTATGAGGGCATCGGTAGGTGTAGTAATGTGATTGATCGATTTGTGGAGTGGATATGACATTGGTGTCATCGAAAACTAATTTTTTGACCAGATTTTGGTGCATGTTCATCTGGTTTTGGTTCAAAATTTTGATCAAATTTGTTGGTGGAGGAGGAGGGGAGGAAGAGGGAGAGGAGAGAAGAAATATATGATTTTTTTAATTTTTATAATTTATTGGACTAATTTATATTTTTTCAAAACGTTTGGGAGTATGATTGCAATTTGTGCTTTATTATTATTTTTTTCTTTTTTGATTTTTTGTTTTAAATAAGAGGATATAATGATCATTTTAAGTTCAAAATAGGGAAAATGATATTTTGAGCAACCAAACATTAAAATAAGGATAAAAATGTCAAAAAATAAAAAATAGAGACGTTTTGTTTTTATGCCAACTACCCTTAAATTTTTTTTACCACGCGCCTATCCGGGGCGTGTTCTCCATCTTTTTCCTCAAAACATGCTCTACCATGACAGCTTAATTAATAATATTAGTGTGGAAAACACCATATTTCCATGCATTTAATCCAAACCAGATTCCTCTCTCTATTTGGAAGGAAACTTCCTGGAAGCTTGCAATGGCCTCTTCATCCATTTAACTCCCTCCCTCCTTCCTCTTGCTTTCCACTCCAACCCCATTTCTATCTCTCTTCTCCTTTGTCGGCTTTTTCCTTCCCATCATGAGACTTGATAAAATTATCCCCAGAAGCCTCTTCAAGTCCAAGAAATCACGCTCCATTGCTAGATCCGAAACCGATCCATCTTCATCCTTCAGCTCCCAAACCCCGTCGGAGGAGGAGGATTCTCAAGCCGGCTTCAAGAAGCCCAACGGCTCAGCCACGCCGACTAGCGTACTGCCCGATGTGAACTTTGAACTTAAACAAGCGTTCCAAATGATGGACAGGTAATTAAACACCTTATAACTTATAAAGTCATTATTGATTACTGGTGTTTAAATAGTCCGATACTCCAACTTTTTCGTGATTTTTTTTTTCAATATTTAATCAACTTGGTTTAACAGAGATGGCAACGGGAAGATAAGGAAGGAGGAATTGGAGGCGCTGCTCAGTCGAGTGGGTCCCGAGCCGCCGAGTCAGGAGGACCTGAAGACGATTCTGAGCGATGTGGATACGGACGGGGATGGGTGTATAAGCTTGGAGGAGTTTCATGCGATCGAATCGGCTTTTGGGCCACCGGCTTGCGATACGGAGCTCCGAGTCACGTTTGATTTCTTTGACTCTAACGGTGACGGAAAAATAACTGCGGAGGAACTTTTCAACGTTTTCAGAACGATAGGAGACGCACGATGCACGTTAGAGGACTGCCGGCGCATGATAAGAGGGGTGGACGTGAATGGAGATGGGTTCGTCTGCCTCGAGGACTTCAGTCGTATGATGGAGCAGCAAGGATGATATTTTCAATATTTCTTGTCTAAAAAAGAAAATTAAATTATCATTTGCCGGTCCGGGTTTTGTTTTTCTTTTATGGAAGGCTGTGGGGGTAAAATTGGAGTTTCAGTATGCGGAAATATTAATCCTACTTTGTTTGAAGTGTAATATACTGAAAAGATATTATTTGTGTAAACTTTATCCATAATTTGGTCTAATTCTATTTCTATCTAATACTAATTAAATATAAATTTATTAGAAAATTGATTACGAAATTACTAATCTATAAAATTTCAAGGCCTATGAATTTTGTCAACTTGGCACGTAAACTTTACAATTCATCGATCAGAATGAAGCCAAATCTTTTTGCCATAAGGATTTCTTTTCGACAAGAATACGACATGGGTACCAATTAAATCCTAACGGCCTAACCTAATTCCTATATTGGAAATAGCTTTTCAAATCCTCATCAAGTAGACGAGTATTTGAGTTTTCAACGAGCATTTATAATGTCGAGTTCGCAAAACTTATTTTCGACTCACTTTTGAGTTATACCAATCAATTCAATCCAATATAACATTGTTAACACATAACATACTTTCCACCTAACCTATTTTACCTTCTCCACATCGTTAGTCATTGCCCCCAACCATACCTACCGTCAGCCAACTAAAGCAATGGTGTTTATTGAATGCCTAAACTTTGTGCACATTTGCCTGTACAAATATTTCATTACGTAAGGACTAATACATTAATATAGCGAATTTCATATCTATATGTTCATGACAAATCACCCGTCACACAAATTGATGATCGTCCTCGACGATAGAGATAAGTAGAATTATTCTTTCGCGAGTCATGCACTCTTCACGCAATGGATCGCGCGGTAATAACAATATTCCTCACCCCCTAATAAAATAAAGCCCGTTTGGTTCGCTTGGAAATTTTAAAAAGTCTTACTAGACGACGGCTCTCACACGCAAATATTTTTATATTAAAAGGTTTTGTAAATTATGCAACATATCCTGCATTTTTCAAAGAAATTGCATTAAAAAGGGTTAAAGAAACCGGAAATTGCAAAAAGATAATTCTTCGTTTTCTAGAAAAGGCGCCGTATCTTGGAGGCACTTGCCGTAAAATTTCTTACCCGTTGAACTCACGTTTTCGACTTGACTATGTAACTTGACAAGGGAGCGTGTTTTATGGACTTTTAAGGAATTTATTATTTATAATGCAAATGGATAGAAACTTTAGCATTTGGCCCAGTTTTTAAAAAACTTATTACTTTTTTTAAAACTCATTTTCAATTATATATTTTATCATAAAATTATTTTACACGTAAATTCAATTTTTTTCGTTATTTTTTTAACTGTATATTCTCTAACAAAACACTATTCCAAATGTATTTTGGCCCAACAATACGGCTCAAATGGGGACTTAATCATTATTATGCCCCCTGTTTGGTAAAAATTTAAGTTAAAGTCAATAATTAATTTTAATTATATATTTCATAGAATCCAAAACTTTTTAACCACATGTTTCATCAATTTTTATTGAAATTTATTAAAAATTTGATTTTTATCCATAGGGTTATATTTGATTTGTGTTTTTTACTTTAATAAAAGTTTTTAATGTGAAATTGCTATCAACATCTTTTTCCAGCAGTCATGCCACTGTTAACTTGTCTGAGACATGTTTATGAATTTTTTTACATATTCAAGTTATTTTTTAGTCACAAGTATCCAGTACGCACAAGTAATACCCACTTTACTATATCCACTTTTTCATATATTTATAATTTGAATCGAGTTTAAATTACAGTGTTAACTGTCTTACGAGTTTTCTTCAGTCTTGTGACTCCTTTAATATTAATATAAATTTAAAAATATAGTTTAAACACTTCTATTAAATTAACACCGAACTATTATTTAGGTCATCGATTCTTTAATAATATTTCGACAATTTATTGATTCAAATAATTATTTGGTGAACACAAGATGGAGAAATCCTAGTTGCGATTTTGTCATGCAAGACGAGTGTCAAATAAAAAAATAAAAAATAAAAATGGTGATACACAATGTTAGTTTTTTTTTTTTTTTAATTTTTTTTATTTCTTTAACAACAAAATGGATGGAAAATTCAAATTGCCAACTAGATAGCACCATGGGAGGAATTTCTCAATTTTTATTTGCTAGACTCATCGCCAAAAATACTACTTTCTCGCTATTACAAAGTTTATTTGTCTCGAATTTAAATTTAAAATCAATTGTACTAAAATTTTCCTTAGTGTTTTTTTTTTTATCTTTTCTTTCTTGAAATGAGGAACAGTGTCAAAATAGATGAATCAATTCAAGCCAAATCAACTAACTAGTGACCTCTAAGGGCCTGTTTGATAGGTTGAGTTTTCCATAGAACAACCAAAATGACATGTTTGATAGCAATCTTTTCCATGGAATTTGTTTTCCTCCAATCCCCTCACGTGACGGATTTTCCACGGTTTTAAGGAATTGGTTTTCTTTGGGTTTTGGTGGGAAAATGGTTTTCCAGCCCTTTTTTTTTTTAAAAAAATTTCAACGATAAAGAACAAATTCTATTAACAATTGTAAAAAATTATATCCATTCAATTGACAATTTTCATGAAAAACAAAGTCAAACTAATACCAAAAGATCCTAAATTTCGACATTTTTCAGGTAGAAGTTTATACCAATCAAATACATTTAATTGATAGTTTTAATTAAAATAAGTTCTAGGTAATTCAATTCCCTGAAATTCGTTTTCTTTTTACTCAAATTCTATTCTTGCAATCGAATAGACCCTATGTTCGATTCAGACCCATCTAATATTTGGTTCGAGTTATGAAAAATACGATGTGATACTACTTTAAAAGCAACATCTTTTGTGTTCAATTGAAAAATAAAGTCAACTTAATTTCTTCTCTTGTTCCTTTTCCCCTTCAATTTCCACTCATGGAAAGTGAACCAAACACATGGGTTTCGAACTCTAAAGAGTAAAGAGGGGGAAATGGGAACACGTATTTATCCAGGGGCAAATTCAGAATCGGACTAAGAAAATTTTTAAACTGGACTAATATGTAACAAAATAAAAAATTTACATATAAAAAAGTTATATAACTTTTTTGACCTTTGAAAAATTAAAATGGGCTTGGGGGACTGGGCTGGATCTGCCCCCTGACTTTCTCCATATTATACCCCTGAAAACGCCCAAGTATTGAATTAAATTTTTGTGATTTTCAAATCACCAGACTTCAATTTTGCTGCAAGTAGACTCTTCTTAAGGAAAATTGCCAAACAAATATGTTAAAGCATTATGCCGCTATTTGGTCCGGATTAAAATCAGATTTTAATTTAAATCAAAGTGAAACAATTAATATTAACCATATTTTTAATTGTCCCACAACTTTTCAACCACACATTTTAAAAATTTCTATCAAAATCTACTAAAAATCTAATTTTAATCCCCACTAAACACCATTTATCTCACGTTCTTTTTAATACTATTTCATCTGACCACCTCTGTTTCTTTAAAAAATATTAAGAAAAGTATAAAGAAAAAAATATATATATATATATTTCCATCCAGAAGGACCAACATGCACCAAAAACCAAACTTAGACATCTAAAAATAACAAAAACTTGAACGGGGACTCAGGTGCTACAATAAGTATAGCTTGGAGACTTCAGATGCAATTTTCTTGCGAATAAACGGATCGTGCTTCCGGGTTGTGATCCTCCGCCGTCTGACCGACATGAAAATCAACGCCTCACTACTCGCTCTCTGCTACAAATTCTCCCTCTCACACATATACACTCGCTGAGCGTGAGATCTCTCGATCCGACCCCGGACAGCAATGTCCTTCACAATTCAACTTCTTGTCACCGATTAATCAAATCCCAAACAAGAACACACAGATAATTATTCCACAAAAGGCATAGAAGTTGCGGGATCTATGAACATGAGAGCGTTTGATTGGAAAATGGGTCAGACTATAATGTTGGTCCTTTTAGTAATGATAGCATCCTTTTACACTGGCACTTTTTTTGGCAACAAATCTTCTTACGTACCACTCCAACAACAGCCGGACGTACAAGATCAAGATGTCAATAATTTATCAGCTGCCGGTTAGAAATTCTTCAATTAAAATAATTTATTACTGTATTACGGGTATTTAACTACCAAAGTAATAAGTTTGCATTTTAACTATTGTAGCTAAGAAAATTGATTAATTTCTGCGGATTGATGTTTAAAACTTTGAATGTTTAATTACCAACAGGTTTCTCGTTTATGATAGATTGAGGATTACTAAATATTTAGCACCATTGATTAGAATGATAATTCGAGCTCAGTAAAGTGCATTTTTTTCATTAAATAATTGTATTACGATAATGCTGGTCTACAATTAGTGCAGTAAAAAAATTGCATAATATCTGTTCTATTAGCATTCGTTTTGGGTCTATTATTTAAGAAAAACTCATTTTGCAACTTTGAATGTTTAGTAATAAATCTCATTAATTTTGTTTTTTTTTTTTTTGGTGTGTATGCGATCAGGTTGGGGATTAATAAATTCATTGCATGTAGCGATAGTTCGTGCTCAGTTATGTGGAATGCAGAATTCTCAGAAATGTGCAGGCTTAATAAATGAATTTGTTATAATAAGAAAATAGAAACTTATTTAGTTATTTGGTTTTGAAAAACTTAAATATTTTATCTCATTGTTTAGTTTATGAATGAATAGTTATACAAAGATGAAGAATAGTAGTAGTATCATATGTATGATAATTTGGACTTTGTAAGCTCATACATCCAGCCAAGTTGAGGTTCAGCACTTCACATTTTCCAGCACCAAGCTGCTTAATTTTTGTTAGCAGAGGTTGGTAGTTGGAAAGTGTCAGCCTCAGTGGGCTGTGATCGTAACATCTCTTGGTTATTGTTGTGTGGATGTTCATTGAAATGCCTTTTTTATATTTCTTTTTATGTCATTATCTTTATGCTTGCAGGTACTTCCAAATTTACAAATAAAGTAGCTCTCACTTATCGGACAGTGCCACTTACAATCCAGAAAACCGGGATGAATATATGCCCTTTATCGTATAATGAATACATTCCATGTCATAATATTTCTTACAACAAGGAATTGCTACCAAAATTGGATCTTTCTAGAAAAGAAGAGCTAGAGAGGCATTGTCCTCCACTAGGTAGGCGCTTGTTTTGTTTGGTGCCACCACCAGCTGATTATAAGTTGCCAATAAGGTGGCCAACTAGTAGGGACTACGTCTGGCGAAGCAATGTGAATCATATGCACCTTGCTGAGGTAAAAGGAGGGCAAAATTGGGTGCACGAAAAAGATCAACTTTGGTGGTTTCCCGGTGGCGGTACTCATTTCAAGCATGGAGCTACTGAGTACATAGAGAGGTATATTTAGGTTATACTTGTTTTGATATCATTGAAAATGGTGTTATGTTGAAGTATATGAGATATCTGTAAAGCTTCCTTTGACAAGTCTTTGCAACACCTTGAACAGTGTGAATGCTATTTGTCTGGTTATGTCTAGGTAATGTCTCTAATCAACGTTGCCTTTTCTGTTGCTGCAGGTTAGGAAATATGATGACTAATAAGAAGGGTGACCTCCATTCTGAAGGGGTATATCAAGTATTAGATGTTGGTTGCGGGGTAGCTAGTTTCTCAGCATATCTTCTTCCTTTGAATATTCAAACTATGTCTTTTGCTCCCAAAGATGGCCATGAAAATCAAATTCAGTTTGCTTTAGAACGAGGGATTGGCGCAATGATTACTGCTTTAGCCACAAAACAGCTACCGTATCCCAGTAGCTCCTTTGAAATGGTCCATTGTTCTAGATGTCGTGTTGATTGGCATGAAAATGGTTAGTTTTCCCTATCCTTGCAGATTAATAATAGTACATATTGCCTTTTTTAAAGATAATATCTGGAGCATTTTGCTCCATGTCAGTATTTTTATTTGAGGAACGCTTTCTGAATTTGTTAAGCAAAAACAACTCAAAACTTTATGACTTCATCTGTTTAAGTTTGCGTACCATTTATTATAGAACTTACCATTTTTTGGATCC